GAAACAAGTTAATTGAATATAACTCGCAAATAATGTGTATTTGGTGACGTCTTAAAAATATTTATATCAGTTGAGAATTCTATAAAATGTTATTTTAAAATCAAGTGTAATCACCTGTATCTGAGTCATGCTTCAGCTTTTGATGTGTGATCTAGACGTGGACGATTACTCGTTATTTTGGGGTCTGTGACGTAGAGTGTCATTCCATGCTGCACTTGATTTAATCCTTATCATCGTACCTGTTTAGATTAATAACTTATAGATTGAACAAAAAATCTGGTGGGTACATTTTGATAAAATGGTATTGCTGAGCAATGCTGCTTAACACTCCCCCAACCATGCTCTGGAGTCCTAGGATTACAAGGTGTACATTGCTCATATATATATATTCAAGTAATTTTGAGGAAACAGCTTTGGGAGAAATTCCAAGCAATGGATCCCCTAACAAGTTTTCTTTAGACTGACTGAAAAAGAAACTCAATTCCGTTTTTTTTTAATTTTTTTTATCAACAACAGAATCAAGGGCAGGGTTATTGGGAAAATCTAAGGTATTGAAAACGCATTAAATGCATGGCATATGACAAATTTCTCAAAATGGTATTGAGTGGTTTGGTGATATGGTAATCTGTTTGTGTATATTCACCTCAGAAATGTCAACTATGTGGCACACAGGGATAACGCTCATAGTATATTCATAATCAAATGTGTCTGACCACACACCAAACATAGATATCATCCGTAGTCAGATACCGCTCTAAGCATCCTCGAGCCAGACATAAATACAATCCGTAGTCACATATATAGCTCTCAGTGACCTCACACCAGACATAAATACCATCTGTAGTCACATACAGCTCTCAGTAACCTCACCCCAGACATAAATATCATCTGTAGTCACATACAGCTCTCAGTACCCTCTCCCCAGACATAAATATCATCTGTAGTCACATATAGCTCTCAGTAACCTCACCCCAGACATAAATATCATCTGGAGTCACATACAGCTCTCAATAACCTTTCACCAGACATAAATATCATCTGTGGTCACATACAGCTCTCAGTAACCTCACCCCAGACATAGATACCATCTGTAGTCACATACAGCTCTCAGTAACCTCTCACCAGACATAAATATCATCTGTAGTCACATACAGCTCTCAATAACCTTTCACCAGACATAAATATCATCTGTGGTCACATACAGCTCTCAGTAACCTCACCTCAGACATAGATATCATCTGTAGTCACATATAGCTCTCAGTAACCTCACCCCAGACATAAATATCATCTGTAGTCACATACAGCTCTCAATAACCTCACCCCAGACATGTATCATAGCTCTCAGTAACCTCACCCCAGACATAGATACCATCTGTAGTCACATACAGCTCTCAATAACCTCACCCCAGACATAAATATCATCTGTAGTCACATACAGCTCTTAGTAACCTCACCCTAGATATAAATATCATCTGTAGTCACATACAGCTCTCAGTTACCTCACCCCAGACATGTATCATAGCTCTCAGTAACCTCACCTCAGACATAATTTTAATGTGAAGACAAGGATTACATGTGTTAAATTTTCAAAAAATGTGATTTTCTCCTAAAGGACCATTAAGCTTTTTATTATCATATTTAAAGTATAACTTGCTGACTTAAAGAAAAATAATTGTATTTAGCTTGTAGCTTCCTTGCTTGAGTGAATAGCTGTCATACAAGGTCACAGGGTTAACATTGGTTCAATCAACTTCTTCTAATGAAGCATGATGCCTAGCGTAATGTTGTTAAGCCTTCACCCTGCTGAGAGATTGCTATCAATTTGATGAAAGAAATCATATTTGTCCATTTTCAAAGTCAAAGGATCAAATGTGAAAATCAATTCAAATAACTTTTGCCAACACTATTAAATACCATTTAAAGAAAACTGCACAGCTCTTTAGCCTCTTGTAACAAGACAATAAATTGGGGACCTGTACATGTTAACTCATTCAACCCTGAAGTTTCATAATGAACTCTTTCAACCTTTTAATTGGAAGAGTTCAAATATATCTTCAGAGGTGAAACTAGGTAAATATTTTCACCCTATCTTTATGAAAAGGAATACAAATTTAGCATGACTTCCACTAACATTACAAAATTAATGAAAAAATAACCAGGTTCCTTTGATATCAGATAATTCTGCTCCTCTTGATATGATAAAGTACATACTTAATGCTGGTGTTTGTAATGTCGCTCCTCCACATCTTGAAATGGTTACTTCTGTTGTAGAGGTAGGTAGAGTGTCCCAGTGGGGGTCTGGCTATTGAATTGGCGCGGACTTGGTACCAATTAACTCCAGTTGATGTTGGTTTATGGAGACAACTTGGCTTCTCCCACTTCAAACGCTCGCATCACCCAGGATTATACTACCTTCATGTGATACCAGTGGGCACAAACATCTAGCTGTACATTTTGGAAACGTTTTACTTTACAGTTTTCATGGTTAGAAACCAAAAATCTTATATCCATTCTAACAAGCACAGTGTTGTTCTTAGCTCAAATTTTCAAATACAAGAAGAGAAGTATTCAGTATTCAGTATTTCTATCATGTTATCTTCTTTTACTCGAACCCTCTATGTCATCAATGTTTGCTCTATTATCCAAACATAATGAACAGTAATGTCTGTAAAGGGGTCAAGGGTCAAGGTCACATCAATGGCTGAGGGTCACTACACTGTGTTGAGGCACAATCCAAGGGACTGGAAGTTTATATGGTAAAAATATACATGTAATTCCGCCTGTGAATTATATAGCACTCAGTCACACTGCATAGGAAAAAGTGATTAACTCAACAGATAAGCCACTTTGCTGTGATTATCCATCTGTTGTCACCCCAGGAAGTTATTACAAATGCATCTTAAATGTAAAAAAAACCAACCCGTATACGGGTAACAAGAGCTTATATCACCTGGCTGTATTTCATATATTTGCTTTCATCTTCAACTCTGGAAATATCAAATATAATCAGGAAAATAAGTATCTGAATGAAACTTATGTGAGAGGGCTATAGCTTAATGTCCATAGACCTTTACTTTTTTGTCAGGAAATTAATATTCGTATAGGATTCCTGAAAAAGAGTTCGGTCCATAATACTTGCTCCCGTTCCTCTATTAATCCTGTGGTAGTTTAATGCATCAAAATATTGCTGTATAGTGTTTTAAAACTAGGAAACCAATAAACATTTAAATAGTAAATATGAAAGTTAGTTAATTTTGATTGTGTACCTTTTAGTTCATGAACACATTTTTCAATTAAATGAATTGCATGTTAATTGTACTTGATATTACTGCTTGTCTTTAGTTTCATACAAGTTGTTACAGTAATGACTGGAAATAGATATTTTCACTGCAATATTGACTCATTCACCCCTGAAATTTTCCAACTATTCCAACCTTTGAATTGGAAGAGTTCAAATGTGTCTTCAGGGGTGAATGAGTTAAATACCTGGTCAAATCCTTCCAGGAAAAGAGCAAAAATAACTCTTCTGTGAAAATTGCCCAGTCTACAGTATTAATTGCTATGCATCTGAAGAGGCCTGTTACTAATATAGTAGCTACAGTAAAACCTCATTATACTGCCACCAGTTGTCAGTAAAACCTCATTATACTGCCACCATTTGTCAGTAAAACCTCATAATACTGCCACCATTTGTCAGTAAAACTTCATTAAACTGCCACCATTTGTCAGTAAAACCTCATTATACTGCCACCATTTGTCAGTAAAACTTCATTATACTGCCACAATTTGTCAGTAAAACTTCATTATACTGCCACCATTTGTCAGTTAAACCTCATAATACTGCCACCATGTGTCAGTAAAACCTTGTTATACTGCCACCATTTGTCAGTAAAACCTTGTTATGCTGCCACCATTTGTCAGTAAAACCTCATTATACTGCCACCATGTGTCAGTAAAACCTTGTTATACTGCCACCATTTGTCAGTAAAACATCATTATACTGCCACCATTTGTCAGTAAAACCTTGTTATACTGCCCCCATTTGTCAGTAAAACCTCATTATACTGCCACCATTTGCCAGTAAAACCTCATTATACTGCCACCATTTGTCAGCAAAACCTTGTTATACTGCCACCATTTGTCAGTAAAACCTCATAATACTGCCACCATTTGTCAGTAAAACTTCATTATCCTGCCACAATTTGTCAGTAAAACTTCATTATACTGCCACCATTTGTCAGTTAAACCTCATAATACTGCCAGCATGTGTCAGTAAAACCTTGTTATACTGCCACCATTTGTCAGTAAAACATCATTATACTGCCACCATTTGTCAGTAAAACCTTGTTACACTGCCACCATTTGTCAGTAAAACCTCATTATACTGCCACCATTTGCCAGTAAAACCTCATTATACTGCCACCATTTGTCAGAAAAACCTCATTATACTGCCACCATTTGTCAGTAAAACGTCATTATACTGCCACCATTTGTCAGTAAAACCTCATTATACTGCCACCATTTGTCAGCAAAACCTCATTATACTGCCACCATTTGTCAGTAAAACCTCGTTATCCTGCCACCATTTGTCCAGAGAAATTTTGGTGTTTGAAAGAGTTTGGGTGATTAAATGAGGTAAACTTATAAAGGAATTCTGAAGAACATTGAAGAAGGGACTTTGAAATATGTTAGCAGTTAGTAAGGTAGCCAATGGAACAATGGAAGTTATATAGAGGTTTACTGTATATACATCTGAAGGAACCTGTTACTAAAATATTACTCTATACATTTGAATGGACATGAAGGGGCCTGTTACTAAAACATTACTCTATACATTTGAATGGACCTGCAGGGGCCTGTTACTTATAGATATCTGAAAGACATATAGCTGATATATAACTATACCCTACATCTCAAAGGATAGTTTCCCAGGTAACAATTTGTATGCTCATTCCTACAGAACGACTTACTTGGGGAAATGTAACATGGCAGAGAAGTACCTGCGTGGAGGTTTATACTGGTAGATGTTGAGGAGTGATGCGGAGACTGAGCCTGCATCAGAGAGTTGTGCTGCCGTGGAGACAACACCAACTTACTTGTGCATAATTGGATGTAATTCAGCAGTTTGATGTTGCTCAGAATGAGACTGTAGATCCGATGAACTATGACCAGACTACCTGTGGTAGGAGCACCTGTCCGGCGGCACTGGTAAGTCACATATCTTTGTTTTGGTGTCCCCTTGGTCCCTGTTGTATCATACTGCCTTCATATCAGTTAATGGTTGTCTCATTATACAAACGATGCCAGGTTTGTTATTTCAATTTCAAATACAGTATTCTTAGCATCTTGTCTTAGGAAATCTATACAATTGTTATTGTCAATGAACACAGACATATATCAATTACATGTTTAGCATATATTGCAACACTGACTTAATCAATTCTTCTGCTAGCACTTCATTGATATTTGACATTTGTAGCCACTTCTGAACAGCTGAATATTTTTGTGATGAAACTTCAGTGTTTATAGAGCATCGACTTAATTGTTGTATGCCTTTGACCACATCCTTTTTGCAAACATTTATAACCCCTGGCACCAAACCTGACACACAAACGCTGATACATAAAGGTCACTGTTACTTTTTATGGAATTTTATGTAAGGTATAACCCTAACTTGCATGGGAGCTGGAGCATTCATGTCTTATAGATATATGTTTTAGTATTTTATATTTTCCACTTTTGACTTTTTGCAGGTAGCATTGTCTTATTAGGATGCATGGTAGCTATAGTGGTAGGACGCCAGGCTCGTGACCGATGGGTTGCGGGTTCGAGTCTCGGCATGACACTGTGTTGTATCTTTGAGCAAGATACTTTACTCTGCTTGTTCCAGTCTACTCAGCTGTAAATGAGTATGTGGTTGGGCAGTGTGCTAGAATTGTAGAATGCTAGCTGTGAGTGCCGAAATGGTAGCACCGACTATATGCTCCCCAGGGAGTTGAGAAAGTTATTGGCTGGTTGCAAAGGCCCTATAACCACGGATAATAATTTGTGACCTGCTTTGAGACGACCTACATAAGAACCTCAAATTATTATTATTATTTCATTCTAGAGGAAAACAAAAGCATGAGAATACTGTGTGTGTAATCATTAGGATTTGATCTAGTATATTTTGCTTAAAGAGAAATCACTGTACTGATTGAGCAACTCGGATGCCTGTAAAGACAATGACAACATTCTTTGTATTTTTTCCTTTGTGATGTAGTCAATGTATCATCTTTAATCCATGATAGCTATGCAGGCAGCTAGTATTTCACATAGGACAGATTTCAGTTTGAGCTGAAATTGTCACTCTGATGATGCAAGGCAATCCAAAAGGCTATCCACTGCAAAGGCTATTCCAAATCCAAATAGGAAATAACCCTTTCACCCCTAGGTAACTTTAGTAGAGTCTTCCATGCATTTATAGGGATGAGTCCATTATGGTCTACAGTGGTGAAAGGGTTAAGAAAAGGAGTTTTATGGTTGTTTTCTGGTAAAAGAAGTGTATGACCCTAGGTGTTGATTGGGTGGAGATTGACCAGTATGATCAGTCTGGTCGGTTATCTTGTTTCTCTGTCTGCAGGGCAAACCTTTGCTGAAATAAGGGTTGAGTTGTTGTTACATGCTTTGATCGTACCTGTTTAGTATATCATACACAGACATCTCAATAGCTCAGGGGTATTCTTTACTTTTATACAAAGGGTGTTACCTATATCCTTTACAATAGTTGTACCTACTTGACATGATTCTGTCTCGTTTTTAAATTCCAATTACTGCACTTTATGTCGTTGTCGAAGACCACAACATTTTCTCACACTTATAATTCCTAGTCGGTCATTATGTTCAGTGAAACTTCACACAATTTTTTTAAAGTCATTTAAAATTATAATTATTCAATGTGATAATAGCATGCACAGTTTGCACACAACTGTGCGATAGTTATTGCACAGTTTTTCAATCGGTATCGGGATTGGATTTATATATTTGGGAATGGCCTGTAAGCAAATGTGATTTCGTATTTATACTTATGTCTTTCCTGAATTAAGTAAAGTACATTGCCATATATTTCAGCCACATTAACATGGTTATCTATTTATCATGCGTACCAAAATTGTTTTAAACTACGTTAATCAGCAGGTGTGTAGATGTACGATCACACACATGTACATACTGTACACACAGATAAACTGTAAACCAAGCAGCCGTACCTATTACCAATTACCTGTTAATTACCTGTACTGTACCTGACAGCACAACACAATCATTGACCGTTTTACAGTCACTCTATTAATTATAATATGTAGCATGCATTGAAGAATTAGTAAAAGGGAAAAATATACCAATCGGATATTAAAGGAGCTCCCAGATGTTTTTCATTCGAAACATTGATCAACTGATGTTACATAACACATAATGTGTGTGTGTTATTGCACAACAGGGCATTTGATTGTTAAAACACACAATGTGCGCACAGTAATTCTGTTGCCAAATTTATTGTTGCCAACTGTATGTTTTCCTTTTGACACGATACTTAAAGCATGGAATAACCCTGTTTTGATTGGCTGGCTGCAAATCAGTGTCAGTTTTTTTTTTTTTTAAATTTGATGCTGCAAAAATATTGGTAGTACATATTAGCAAGTATCATTGATGCAAATATTCAGCAGGCCCAAGAACAATTGCCTATTCCAGGCTTCTTCACAAACCTCAGGAAGGTTGTCTCATGTTAACAGTCGGTGGGTCTGAGTGACGGCCTTATTTACTGATCATCTGAGGAAAGTTGTCTCATGGTAACAGTCATTGGGTCTGAGTGACAGCCTTATTCACTGATCTGAGGAAGGTTGTCCCTGTTAACAGTCAGCAGGTCTGAGTGATGGCCTTATTCACTGATCTGAGGAAGGTTGTCTCATGTTAACAGTCGGTGGGTCTGAGTGACGGCCTTATTTACTGATCATCTGAGGAAAGTTGTCTCATGTTAACAGTCAGCAGGTCTGAGTGATGGCCTTATTCACTGATCTGAGGAAGGTTGTCTCATGTTAACAGTCGGTGGGTCGGAGTGACGGCCTTATTTACTGATCATCTGAGGAAGGTTGTCTCTTGGTAACAGCAGTAGGTCTGAGGGAAAGCCTTATTTACTGATCTGAGGAAGGTTGACTCATGTTTACAGTCAGTGGGTCTGAATGACCGCCTTATTCACTGATCTGCGAAGGTTGTCTCATGTTACCAGTCAGTGGGTCTGAATGACCGCCTTATTCACTGATCTGAGGAAGAGTGATGGCCTTATTCACTGATCTGAGGTAGGTTGTCTCATGTTAACAGTCAGGAGGTCTGAGTGACAGCCTTATTCACTGATCATCTGAGGAAAGTTTTCTCATGTTAACAGTCAGCTGGTCTGAGTGACGGCCTTATTCCCTGATCTGAGGAAGGTTGTCTCCTGTTAACAGTCAGTGGGTATGAGTGACGGCCTTATTCCCTGATCTGAGGAAGGTTGGCTCATGTTAACAGTCAGGAGGTCTGAGTGACAGCCTTATTCATTGATCTGAGGAAGGTTGTCTCGTGTTAACAGTCAGTGGGTATGAGTGACGGCCTTATTCCCTGATCTGAGGAAGGTTGTCTCATGGTAACAGCAGTAGGTCTGAGTGACAGCCTTATTTACTGATCTGAGGAAGGCTGTCTCATGGTAACAGCAGTGGGTCTGAGTGATTGCCTTATTCACTGATCTGAGGAAGGTTGTCTCATGTTAACAGTCAGTGGGTCTGAGTGACAGCCTTATTCTCTGATCTGAGGAAGGTTGTCTCATGTTAACAGTCAGTGGGTCTGACTGATTGCCTTATTCACTGATCTGAGGAAGGTTGTCTCGTGTTAACGGTCAGTAGGTCTGAGTGACAGCCTTATTCACTGTTCTTCTGAGGAAGGTTGTCTCATGTTAACAGTCAGCAGGTCTGAGTGATTGCCGTATTCACTGATCTGAGGAAGGTTGTCTCATGTTAACAGTCAGTAGGTCTGAGTGGCAGCCTTATTTACTGATCTGAGGAAGGCTGTCTCATGGAAACAGCAGTGGGTCTGAGTGATTGCCTTCTTCACTGATCTGAGGAAGGTTGTCTCATGGTAACAGCAGTAGGTCTGAGTGACAGCCTTATTTACTGATCTGCGGAAGGCTGTCTCATGGTAACAGCAGTGGGTCTGAGTGATTGCCTTATTCTCTGATCTGAGGAAGGTTGTCTCATGTTAACAGTCAGTGGGTCTGAGTGACAGCCTTATTCTCTGATCTGAGGAAGGTTGTCTCATGTTAACAGTCAGTAGGTCTGAGTGACAGCCTTATTTACTGATCTGAGGAAGGCTGTCTCATGGAAACAGCAGTGGGTCTGAGTGATTGCCTTATTCACTGATCTGAGGAAGGTTGTCTCATGTTAACAGTCAGTGGGTCTGAGTGATTGCCTTATTTACTGATCTGAGGAAGGTTGTCTCATGTTTACAGTCAGTGGGTCCGAGTATAAATACAGCCTTATTCACTAATCATCTGAGAAGGTTGTCTCATGTTAATAGTCAGTGGGTCTGAGTGACAGCCTTATTCACTGATCTGAGGAAGGTTGACTCATGTTAACAGTCAGTGGGTCTGACTGATTGCCTTATTCACTGATCTGAGGAAGGTTGTCTCATGTTAACAGTTAGTGGGTCTGATTGATTGCCTTTTTCACTGATCTGAGGAAGGTTGTCTCATGTTAATAGTCAGTGGGTCTGAGTGATTGCCTTATTTACTGATCTGAGGAAGGTTGTCTCATGTTTACAGTCAGTGGGTCCGAGTATAAATACAGCCTTATTCACTAATCATCTGAGAAGGTTGTCTCATGTTAACAGCAGATCTGAGTGACAGCCTTATTCACTGATCTGAGGAAGGTTGTCTCATGTTAACAGTCAGTGGGTCTGAGTGATGGCCTTATTTACTGATCTGAAGAAGGTTGTCTCATGTTAACAGTCAGTGGGTCTGAGTATAAATACAGCCTTATTCACTAATCATCTGAGAAGGTTGTCTCATGTTAATAGTCAGTGGGTCTGAGTGACAGCCTTATTCACTGATCTGAGGAAGGTTGTCTCATGTTAACAGTCAGTGGGTCTGAGTGATTGCCTTATTCACTGATCTGAGGAAGGTTGTCTCATGTTAACAGTCAGTGGGTCTGAGTGACAGCCTTATTCACTGATCTGAGGAAAGTTGTCTGATGTTAACAGTCAGTAGGTCTGACTGATTGCCTTATTCACTGATCTGAGGAAGGTTGTCTCATGTTAACAGTCAGTAGGTCTGACTGATATGTTAACAGTCAGTGGGTCTGAGTGACATCCTTATTCACTGATCTGAGGAAGGTTGTCTCCTGTTAACAGTCAGTGGGTCTGAGTGACGGCCTTATTCACTGATCTGAGGAAGGTTGTCTCCTGTTAACAGTCAGTGGGTCTGAGTGACATCCTTATTCACTGATCTGAGGAAGGTTGTCTCCTGTTAACAGTCAGTGGGTCTGAGTGACATCCTTATTCACTGATCTGAGGAAGGTTGTCTCCTGTTAACAGTCAGTGGGTCTGAGTGACAGCCTTATTCACTGATCTGACGAAAGTTGTCTCATGTTAACAGTCAGTGGGTCTGAGTGACAGCCTTATTCACTGATCTGAGGAAGGTTGTCTCATGTTAACACTCAGTGGGTCTGAGTGACAGCCTTATTCACTGATCTGAGGAAGGTTGTCTCATGTTTACAGTAAGTGGGTCTGAGTGACAGCCTTATTCACTGATCTGAGGAAGGTTGTCTCATGTTAACAGTCAGTGGGTCTGAGTGACAGCCTTAATCACTGATCTGAGAAGGTTGTCTCATGTTAACAGTCAGTGGGTCTGAGTGACAGCCTTATTCACTGATCTGAGGAAGGTTGTCTCCTGTTAACAGTCAGTGGGTCTGAGTGATTGCCTTATTCACTGATCTGAGGAAGGGTGTCTCATGTTAACAGTCAGTGGGTCTGAGTGACAGCCTTAATCACTTATCTGAGAAGGTTGTCTCATGTTAACAGTCAGTAGGTCTGACTGATTGCCTTATTCACTGATCTGAGTAAGGTTGTCTCATGTTAACAGTCAGTGGGTCTGAGTGACAGCCTTACTCACTGATCTGAGGAAGGTTGTCTCATGTTAATAGTCAGTGGGTCTGAGTGATTGCCTTATTTACTGATCTGAGGAAGGTTGTCTCATGTTTACAGTAAGTGGGTCTGAGTGACAGCATTATTCACTGATCTGAGGAAGGTTGTCTCATGGTAACAGTCAGTGGGTCTGACTGATTGCCTTATTCACTGATCTGAGGAAGGTTGTCTCCTGTTAACAGTCAGTGGGTCTGAGTGATTGCCTTATTCACTGATCTGAGGAAGGTTGTCTCATGTTTACAGTCAGTGGGTCTGAAAGAGATTTTGTTATACATATTCCAGGCTCTTTCAGACCCCAGGTGGGTTTTTCTCAGAAAGACAGACATGGTGAAAGGTCAGTCTTTTCAGAATTTTTTAACATTTAGATAAATCAAGTTATTTTAGAAATTTATAGATTTAAAGATAAAATAAAATAAAAAAAACATACATTTAATTTTGTAAATAGGACTTAATGCAAAACATTGCATAATTAAATTCAGAATTACTATAAATGAGTGCATGCATTGATTAAATTAATGAACAACTTAAACATTTCATTCCAAATACAAAAATTAAAATGAGTGTTTCAACTAGAAAGTAATTTGTAATCATATAATTTTGGATTAGTTTAAAACAAAGATGACACTTTATAACTTTGAAAACCAAACAAAAGAGAAATACTGTATCATTTCATAAGTTTTATGAAAATCTCATACAAAAAACCTTTTTAATTTTATTTTCAACTTTCAAATGACTCATTCAAGATTCCTTTTTTTTGCCTTGTTTTTCGTTTAACATCCCTTCCTTGTGATAGTTTTAACATCTTCATGGTATATTTGTAACAACTTATTCTAAAGGCCATAAAGGGCTTGAGTAGTAACATTTGACCAGTAGCCTGGCGCAGGGTTAACACACTATCAAGTGTGATCAAGTACATGACCTTGACCTACTTTAGAGATTGCTGAAGAAAAATAACTTAAGATGCTCAAATTGTAGGTCTCGCCGAGTGATGATATTTAGCCCAACATGTTTGCTTGCCTGCTATGAAGTTTGTTCAAATAAATTTGACCTTGACCGACTTTGAAATCACAGGTGTGAGATGTAGGCCAACAGTATTGAAAAACAAGTAATACAGGCCCATTGGGCCTCATGTAATGTAAATCCTATAAAACGTAAATGTATTGAGGTAATATATTTAGAAAGAGCTTTTTGTTTATATTTTAACCAATGAATATATCTTTTTAAAAAAACACCAATAAAGTATTTTAATATTTTTCTGTTAAGTTCTAATTTTTTGGTGACTTTTGGATTTCTCTATTGGTGCAAATGCATTTCTAAAGATGCTCTTCGGGGTAAGTGCTGACTTTTAGTGGCTCATAAAAATGGACAGCAATGTAGAAATTAACTCATTCACCCCCCGACATTTCATAATGAACTGTTCTAACCTTTGAATTGGAAGAGTTCAAATGTGTCTTCAGGGGTCAATGAGTTAAATGTCAGTCCTCTCTCTTGATAATGGGTATAAAGGAATGAGTATTTCAGGTTTCAGTCAAAGCTGATCAGTTACACAAGGTGTTAAGTATACTTTTGTTATAAGACTTTTCTCCCTTAGCTCATTCAATTATCATTTTCATCATGATGTGTGTAACACAAGGGCGGTAACTCAAAAGTACTTCACGGTACAATTTGTTTACCAGAGCACTTGTTTAACTCATTCACCCCTGAAGACACATTTGAACTCCTCCAATTCAAAGGTTGGAATAGTTCATTATGCATTTTCAGGGGTGAATGAGTTAACCTGCTAGGCTGGTCTGGGAATATCCTGTGTTAACAAGTTCATACACATTAATGTACATATTTAATTCTGTTATGACAGTTCCTCTGAAAAATGTCACCTTCTTTAAAGCAAAGTTAATTGTTGATTTAATCATACAATTGTACTATTTAAAATGTTAGACCTATTGAAACTGGAGTTTGTGGGAACTCAGTCTAATTATTCAGACATTGTTAATCTTAGCAGTCGATCACACTGCCGAATCCCCTTTGATCTTCTTTCTGATAGGAATCTATCACTGAAGTATATTGATTTCTAAAAGAAAGTTTGAACCTGCGTGTCAAACAATTGGTATTACAGTACATTCCACCTAATATCACGTCTGTTTATGTCACTTTTCGGTTATTATCATGTTTTTTTGATGCACCGTTTTTCCTGCTATATAATCTATGCAATTCAATTCTTTTATTATCACCTGATTTTATGTTGATTTCTCTTAATATCACTTTATTTTGGCCACTGTCACAAAAAAATACAGGTAAATGGTGGTAATGATTCATGATAAATGCCCTGGGGACCTTCTGTCACACCCTGGATGCATTATGTAAACAATGCCTCGGCCTAACAGGGTATTTTTTACACCTGGCTGACTGTTAAACAAAAGGTTACACCTGGCTGACTGTTAAACAATAGGTTGACTTACATACTTGTTAACATGATATTCACCTGTGGTTGGGGGAGCTAGGACAGTCTAACATCTGTAAACTTTTCTAATGCCAAGTGTGATGTATTCTTTCAACTAATTATAACATGTGTACTATCTTCGATTACACACTTGCAGCAAATATCTAAGGAAATTAACCTATAAAAAGATGTTACTAGCGAAAGAACAGTATATATATCAAGATATAGGTAAATATTTACCAAGTCTCATGTTTACAATTGAATTTGATGCAGAATACCAGCCAAACACTTGTATGCCTACATCACTACTGCAGTAAACAATCATAATTACAATCGTACTGATCGTCATTTTGCTACTAACTATATGAAATGTAACTGCATACTGAAATGAAATACAAATAATATATTTATTTCTATACTTATTTACTTATATCTATATTTCAACTAGGGTAAAGAACAAGGTTAGTTACAAAATATCAATATTCTTCGTAGAGCCACATCACTTAGGCATTTGACTAAGTTCACTTCCGGTTTTGAGGACTGAAAAACATCAGAAAATATGTATTCTGTTTATGTCATGTTTCTGTTAATATCATGTTTTTCTCTGACAAATGGGAAGTGATATTAAGAGAAATCTACTGTACCATGTTACAGGTTAAGTCAGTGATATTTTGGCCAGTCAAACAGTCAATGAATCAATGACAAATTTCAGAGACAAAAAAGAATAATTGATTGAAGAAAAAATATTTTGTTAAATGATAGATGATTCTATATTAATTATTGATCTATTGAAATTAACCCAAAAAAAATTATATAGGATCTTACATGAGTTTCCATTTTATATAAGATTTATGAAACGATTAGTCTAAGAATTTTTCAATTTAGCAAGCCTCTGGTGAGCTAAAATGAAAAAATTGTGATAAGTTTCATAAATTTCATGTGAAATGAAAACGAGTGTAAGATCCTTTTTAACACATAATCAAGATTTGTGGCAATTCTTCTTGTAAAACAACAATTTTCGTGCAACCTTAAAATGTAAAGAGCCCCCATTTTGACTCCAGTGTGTAAGTCTGGTACGTCATGTACTTGTCCTAGGCGTGACGTCACAATTGAAAAAATTGAAACTTACAACCAATCACAGGGATGATAGGTCATATTACATAGGTTAATATGCAAAAAAATATGACATGGGTATATTCACTGGATAACACAGTACATTATGTGATAAATCAATATATTGAATGAATGTCTTTGTCATTGAATCAGTTCAATTTCCGTTTAATTTATTTAAGGAATTACTAGGATAATTTTGGGGGTTATATACATTACATACTGAGAGAAAAAAATGTGTGCATTTTTGTGCATAAACTATTTGCAGTTTATGCAAAAGTGCACACAGTTTTATTTTTTATTTTTTTTATTTCCATTGTTATCCCTTATAATTGAATTTAAAAAGACAGACAATACTTTTTAGTGTATAACAGATGAATTTTTATTAATTTCTGATAAAAACAAAATAAATTTGCACAAAACATAACATTGTGCAGTAATTTTAATGCCAAGCAACTCAACCAGTAAGAAGTTAGAATTACAAAAACTGTACCAAACATTGTGATAAACGATGTCTCCACCTTTTTGTGTTAAAGCAAAAAATTGAACTAAAGATAGTTCCTAGACCCCAAATCACCATATTTATTTTAGTTAGTACCCATTACACCATCAGACCGAACTCTTACTCGGTGTTTGAAGGGTTAATGGGTATATATATGTATAAGGAATTCCTCATTTTCTAGGAAATGAGATGAAAATGATAAAAAAAAGTATCATGCATGCATTTCTGGGTTGTGTACATCACATATCCTTTTTCCTGATATTATTTATAATGTGGTAACATGTAATTGGTGACAGATTTATCTGTAATAAATTGATATAGAATGCTAGCCTATAGCTAGACAGGATACATACTATGGCCCTTAGGAAATGGACCACGGCGTCAATCCTGTTTTACATACGACTCGTTTACCTTGCCAACATCTATATATAGAGTGTCTGACGTTATTTCTACTCAAACCAAAGCTACGTAAAAATATAACACATGTTCAAACATAATAAAGAATCAAAATAGAATGCTATCTTCGTCTAATCAGGATATGTGTATACTTCGGACCTCATTCATAAATTTAATTATTTGATCAGCAATTTATGGTGTATATTAGTTGGAAATGTCAATGACGTGGTGAAGTTATAAAGATGTCAGTTTAGTTGTGTATGTTTATCTGAAGGTAACCTGATAAGACAGCATCCATGGATGACCAGTCACACAGTGTGTAATCATAGGTTGTGTTAGTGATTATAACAGGATGTAAGTGCCTGTATCACGGTTAACCACACTATCATCAGCTGTGGCCGGGTTCCTAACACCTGATCTCCACCCAGCTAATCAGCATTCTTTAAATACACTAATACAGGATGTAACAACTGGCACACCAATAGGAAGGAAATTCTTACAATCATGTTCCGATTGTTCAGCTTGCGTGTATGGTTATCTACATTA